CTAAGTGAAAGAACTGTACTAACAAATCTAAGGCACAATAAATTACCTGTTTTTAGACTTGCAGAGAATAAAGAATAATAAGAAATGAATGAAAAAAAACAAAGAGAAAAGTAAATTCTCACTCCTTCTCCCCACAAATCCCACAAATAACAGCTACAAAGTAATTTCAAATTTCCTGAAAAGACATTATATATTAATTGTAATAAAAAGTGTCACCCTGATTTAAATTGTGATTGATACTATAATAAAATGTACTTCATTGCCAAAGGTTTCTTTATATTCAGATCATGGTTAATAATTACCATGATGTAATTATTCAAAAATAATTATTTTTGGAAAGAAACCTAAATGCACATCAGAACTACACAAAAGAAGAGAAATAATGTCACTCAAATTCCAACATTAACATATCTTCCTTCTGTTTCCCAAAATCAAGGCCCATAACATAAATTCCATTTATAAGAATGAACTCATTCATTTGTCTTAAAGCCTTCTAGAGAAAGCTGAAAGACAGGAAACATGTCAATGGAAGAAAAAAAGGCATCAGTTATATCACTTTCAGAGTCTACATTTTAGGGAAAGTATTTCAGAATCTATCTGGGCATGGCTAGAAACCGTTGTTTTACTATGGTTTTGTTCATTTAGACCCACAGGCAGAAATACTGATTAGATGACCTGTTATTGGCTGGGCACAGTGGCTCACACCTGTAATCTCAGCATTTTGGGAGGCCGAGGTGGGCGGATCACCTGTCAGGAGGTTGAGACCAGCCTGGCCAACATGGCAAAACCCCATATCTACTAAAATACATTAGCCGGGCATGGTGGCACATCCCTGTAATCCCAGCTATTTGGAAGGCTGAGGCACAAGAATTGCTTGAACCCAGGAGGCAGAGGTTGCAGTGAGCCGAGATCACACCATTGCACTCCAGCCTGGACAACAGAATGAGTTAAAAAAAAAAAAAAGACCTATCATTAAAAACATTCATTAAAGGTTTAATTACAGACAATGTCTTGGTAGGCTAAGAGTAAAGCAAGTAAGATAATATACTATACCCCATTTCTTTCTAGAAATTTACTCTCTAAGAGACATGCTTGACTGTAAAGAGAAAACAATAAGGAAAGCATTAAATAAGCAAGTAAAGGGACAAGCAGAGTTAATGGGCAGTGAACAAATTAGAAGTCAGTATATTTGACTCTCACATCCTGTGAGATTTCCTAGTGATAGAACTGCAGTAGCTATGAGAACAGTATAAAAATAAGTTAGCAAGATTACCAGAATTGAGGACCCCGTATAATAATTTTATGAAAGGAGAGTAAAAGCAACTGCTGAGAATACACAAACCAGCATAACGGGAAATTGTGCTGTGGTATTCTTAGAAGGGTGGTTGGAATTGTCAACATAGAAACTCTCCAAGCTGCAAAGAATGCACTGCTAGAATAAAACTATGAAATGAATGATTTTAATAAATGAAGTGTATAGAATAGTCATATGCAAAGTTTCAGGAAGACACAGTACCAATGACACCAGACATAGGGAAAAAGTAGCAAAGGAAAGTGAAGGACCTACACACTTGAAAGGGATGGATCTCCCTCCACTGAAAACAAATGTGAGTTTGCCAAGAGACCATGTAAGAAAAAAAAAGATATAATGTTTAAATAGGTCCTGACTTTTGATAAAAGTCAACTTGTGATAAGTTCCTCTAGAACTTATTTCATTTTATTTTTGAGATGGAATTTTGCTCTTGTTACCCAGGCTGGAGTGCAGTGGCGCAATCTCAGCTCACTGCAACCTCTGCCTCCTGGGTTCAAGTGATTCTCCTGCCTCAGCCTCCCAAGTAGCTGAGATTACAGGCACATTCCACCACGCCTGGCTAATTTTTGTATTTTTAGTAGAGATGGGTTTTCACCATGTTGTCCAGGCTGGTCTCAAACTCCTGACCTCAGGTGATCCACTCGTCTCGGCCTCCCAAGGTGCTGGGATTACAGGTGTGAGCCACCGTGCCCAGCCAAACTTATTTTTAATATGAGCTAAGTTATAAATAAAGAATAATTATTGTAATCAATTAGAAAAAGAGTTTGGCAAATTGGCATGGAAAAATAATATGAGTCAGTTGATAACAAGCAGAAACACATTCAAGAGCATTAGGATAGGGAACTGCTGGGTAACAGGAAATGTGATTTCTCAATAATGTCAAACCGGTTGAGAGAGGCTGAACCAATTTACATCCTCCTACAAGGTATAAGACATCCCACTGATCCATGTCCTCACCAATATGTGGTGTTTTCAGGCTTCTTTGTTTTTTGCAACCCATGCGGCTACAAAGAGAGGAGCTTGCAGGTAAGGATATGATCTTACTTTTTTCTTTCCCCAGGACGTGGCATAATCAGAGTCTAATAACAAGCACTGCGTAAAACTGAAGTGAAGAAGCCTAGACCTGAACCAAGATCACTTGTCATGTTTTCCATTTGAAATTTGCAATCCTGTACATTTTTTCCACCTTTCATTCTTCTACACTGCCCCTCCCATTTTGCTACACTATCTTTCAAATAACAGAATGCTAACTCATGTTCACTTAAACTAGCATAGAATAAAAGCAATGACCATTTTAAAGAACAGAAAACATATCTACACAATTTTTGTTTACATAATCTCATAAAAATAAGAGCAACTACGTCTGAACAAGAGACCACATCTAACTTGGAGATAGGAAAATATGCATCATAAGTATTCAATAAATATTTGTTGAATATAAAAGAAAATTTTTAAATTATAATAGTACTAATAAAATACACAGGTATGATAATGCACACTGGTTCATGTAATTACAAAAATGAAACTTCTAAATTTTAGAAGAAATAATAAATCCAACACTCAGGAAATGCTGAAGCGTAAAAACTCAAATAAAAAAAGTAAAAAACCACTAAAAGATCTTAATCATTTCAAGTTCCACAAGTCAATCAGGAGTTTTCGACAAGGTTGCAATTTTGGGCCAAGGGCTAATTTAAACTCTATCACAGTCATCTGTTCATCGAAGAATGAACTTACCTTTCAGACCACACAATATTTTTGGAATTTCCATTAAGAGATACAGAGAGAAAGAATGAATGATAAACTATATCAGGCAACAAACTTTTTTCACTTTTAATCAATAATAAGTTAAAATTCTGAATGAAAGTAGAAATCAAGTGAGTAAAACCACTGGGAGTACTACCAAGCCTTGAAACAGCTTTCTAGCAAAGCAGCATTTATAAAGACTTAACAAGTAACTGTCAAGAACTGTAATACATTAAGTTTCACCAGAATCTTCTACAAAAAAAAAATGCATTTTATTAAGTGTAAAATAAGTACTAACATATATATTTACATATATGTGTGTGTATATATATATTTCATTCTTCTAACTTCACATTTAAAAAGAAAAAAAAAAAACAGAGGAAAAATTTCTTGAGAAGTGGTTACTGACAACACTGTTAATGGCTTCTAAAGGATTTCTTTTCTACTTGGGAATAAATGTAAGCACAAGAGTTCCACTTATCCAAACTACAGTGTAACTTAGCAGTAAATTATGGCACTAAATCTAGGTTAGAAGATGCCTACCATGATTAAGGTATTTTCCAATTTCTAACAATTAGCAACATTAACTAAGTAGAAATCAATTGTAATTGAGGAAGACAGTGAAAACTAAACTAATTACCAAAGTCAATTGATATATATAATCAATGTTATTTAATCTATAAATTCTGTATGTTATAATTTACTTATACACATATAGTACTTATCAACTAAACCTACAGAGAAATAGTTTTGATTTTCTTAATCTCTTAATAGTCTTAGTTTTCTTAATCCCATGCTTCTTAAATGAATTTACTTGCTACAAATCTCTGCTAAAACAGACTTCTTTTTTTTTTTTTTTCTCAGTGTTTTTATTTATTGATGAAATTTTAGACAAGAATTAAATTTGATAGTCTGTAAAGTACCTAGCTCCTTGGCTTGTAGGCAGGCAATAAATATTAGATCTTTTTTTCCCATTTGCTAACCAGATTCCCTTGTGTTCTCTATCCTTTACATTTGTTTGAATGCTAGCATACCTATAATTATGGTAGATCACCTTGAGAAGCACACCACAATATACTGCTTGCTTTCTTCCTACAGTGTATTATCTAATTTTGATGTAAAACAGACTTCTTAAAGTCAATAAAATTTCTTTAAAAACTTTTTATTGTGTGAAAGTCAAGTTTTCGATATTTAATTTACATATTTATGTTTTTGTATTTAAAATCAATTGAGGAAACTAATCCAGTACAATTTAGAACACTGGTTACCCATATAAGAGATTAGAATGTAATTAGTTCTAATGGTATCAATTTAGTAAGTCTCAGTTAATGAGAAGGTAGGACAATTATAGTAATAAACTGTTTATGCTTGGAGAAAATATTCATAATATTATCTCTGGCCAGTTCAACAGCATTTCTTTAACTGTTATTCCAAATGCCTCAAATATTACAGAAGTGATCTGAGAAAGGTAAGGTGATATTCTGAAGTACCTAACATTTAGTAAATTCAGGAGTTTCTGGTCTATTATATGAAAATGCCACAGATATATACTCTGGTTCTTTACAGAGAAAACATACAATTGATAATATATTAGATATCTGGATCCCAAAAGATGCATTTAAAAAATTGTGGTTAAAAAAAAACATAACATTAAATTTACCATCAACCTTTTTTAAAGGTACCGTACAGTAGTGTCAACTATGTGCACATGGTTATGTAACAGATCTCTAAAACTTTCCTATCATAAACTGAAACTTTTTATCTACTCAAACTTTTTATCTACTCAACAATTGCCTCTGACTAACTTTGATAGTGAAGCCCTAAAATTAGAACAAATTTCTTTTATGACTTGTTTCAATGCTGACGCAACAACTGGCATTCAGTAGAGCAGCACAAATAATGAAAATATTGATCTTCAGTAAGTACATCATAGCACTTGACTTACCTTAGTAATGGGTGGAATATGACGGTAATGTTTCTGGCTCCAGGTTTGCAGACAAATTTTGTTCCTCCACCTTCAATTAAGTTGTCATCAGGACCCCCTTTCAGAAGAAAGAAAAAAAAGAGACTTAGCTCATTGAAACGTTTATAAATAAACAAACCAAGCATATCTAGATGAGTCCTATACTGTCATAATTAGGACCGTCTTTGCAAGCAATAACCTTCGGTATGTACAAAATTATTTTGAACGACTTCATCCAATCTTCCTCACTTGAATAAACAATAGATTAGAATTTTCACTCTGGCCGGGCAAGGTGGCTCACAGCTGTGGTCCCACCAGTTTGGGAGGCTGAGGAGGGTTGAGCACTTGAGGAGTTCGAGATCAGCCTGGCCAATATGGTGAAACCCTGTCTCTATTAAAAATTTTTTTAAAATAGCCAGGCGTGGTCGCATGTGCCTGTACTCCCAGCTTCTCGGGAGGTTGAGGCAGGAGAATTGCTGGAACCCGGGAGGCGGAGGTTGCAGTGAACCAAGATTGCACCACTGCACTAAAGCCTGGGCGACAGAGCGAGACTCCATCTCAAAACAAACAAACAAACAAACAAACAAACACCCAGCATTTTTACTCTGAGTAAGAACATGGAATCACAGTAAGAACAAATGCTACATTTAAAGGAACAGTGCAAGGCTACAATTCCGTTAAGGTGAAAATTTTGATCTCTAATGACCAGGGTCCATCTTGGACAGTATGGGACATAAAGCTTTCAGAGAAAGGATGAAGTGCCTGCCATTCTAAGTTGCTGCACATTGTAAAGACTGGAGCAGAGATTCATATAAGCCTAACTTACCATAGTTTATCAAATCTGAGACCCCAATGATTATAAGACACACTATTATTTTACATATCACCAAGAAAAAAAAAAAAAGTCCTGCTATTTAAACTATATAATGCTTTCTTGGAATGTTTCCTTTTCCTTGTTGAATAGCTCCTTTGGCTTTTTACATAAACAAATGGTTACCATAAACCTCTCAGGCACATTCAATAAGGAAATATAAGAAAAATAAGTTTGTTAAGGTATTCTTAACACTAAGTAATATTTGAAGTCTAGCTCTTTCGAATCACTCTGACTCAGAGTTTTCAATGTCCTTGTTTTCTAAACATTGTCATCCACTGTCACCAAGAGCGTGTGTTTCATAAAAGAGTGCTCCATGCTGCATCCTATATTTTATTCCACGCTGCTGATATCCATCCTGCAAAGTTTAAAGTTGATGCTTTCTTGATGCTATCAGAAGGTTTAAACAGAAGGCTTTCCTATCCCGACCAGGACTCATACTCTTTCCTCAAATGGTCCTTAATTGCTTCATTAACGGAAACACTGAAGGGTCATGGTGCAAGCAGTAACGCAGGCTCACACACACCGCACCGGTGACAATTCACCGTGACTGGTTTCCAGTAGGCAGCCATTAAGATGCCACTGATTTCAGATACATCCTCATTTCAGAGAATTTAGAATGTGAAAAGATGTATCACTTTGGATGTTGGGAAAAATGCTCTCCCCCTACTTGTGTTTCTTGCCACTATAATGAAGTTCACCTAATGTAATCTCTGACCTCTCTCCACCTTTTACCCACTCCAGGGACAGTGATATAATGACTCTGACTGATAAAAATTGAGAAGAAAAGGCTGGGCATGTATGGCTTAGCAACTCCCATATTCCACCTTAGAAACTAGAGAGCCTGAAGACAGTTAAGTGGTGTCTGGTGTAAGTTTAGCTATAAAGGCCCTGCTTTGTCAGAGAACGCCTGAAGTGGGCCAACATCTTTTCTAAATGGGTGAGTAAATCTGTTTAATTGTGATGTTCAGTTAGCAAGCTTTGTTTGATTCTCAAACTGGGTTACATCCTGCAATCTGGCTTAAATCAATATAAAAGTGACATTTCACTTACTATCTACCTTACTTATTTCTCAATAGTTTCAAAACTCTGGCAGGAAAGATAGCTACTCTTTAGTGGGCTTCCTCAAAACCCTAGCAATCTACACTTACAACATTTGGTTTCCTTCTTCTAAATTAAACATTTTCTTTCTGAGTATCGTTCTTTGCATGTTACCAAACACAGCTAAATCTCCCTTGATTTATTATCTATCTAAATGGTCTCTAGGCATCTTGGAAATTGCCTGATAAAAACATGTGAAGCTTCAGAAATCCATACCCTGGATCATCAGGACGTCCCAGAGGCATCAGAGTCTAGACATTTGGATCAGTTGTTTCTACCAACTAATCAGTGCATACTTTTTCTTAAGAATAACCAAAAATACAATGGCATAGTCAACCCTTAATTAAAAATCATGGACTGTTTTTTCTCATTAAAAAAAATCAATCTTGTACAAGGTTTGCATCAGAGATATGAACGTGCTGCTAAATTTTGCTGAGTTAAGGAAAGCATGAAGACTAAAAAAAACACTATACTTCTAATAAAATCCTCCTTGAAAGGTCACATGGTATAGTTACAAAAATGATAGAATAAGTATAACTTCTTTAACAACATATTTCCTTTTAAGATTATAAAATCTAGTCAGAATTCATTCACGAAGGAGATGTGTATAGAAGAAACCGGGATATATTCTACACTTCAGGAACAGGTAAATAAGTCTACATAAAAATAATGTAATAATCGACCCAATATGAACATGTCTTTTGATAACCTATATGAGATAGACTAGATGATTTCCAACAGTTTATAAATATTCTGAAGTGCTACGATATTAGGCACTCAATAATTAAATTCAGACCTGACTAACCCGGCTTCATTCAAATGAAAACCTTCACGTATGGTAAATGCGCTGTATGCATGTGTACCTCTATGCCTTAGCCACACTGCGCTACCATCTGGAGGTCTCTCTCCCCTCGTACCATTTCTTTAGGTCCCACATCTATTCCCAAACTGACAAATGCCCCTCTCTCAAAGTCCACAATTCCATTAACAGTGACTATGTATAAAATAACCCATAAGAACCTTAACACAAGTCACTTCTGTTACTATGTGTTTTCTTCCTTATGTCACTTTTTCCCACCTGGAATGTAACTTCCTGGAAAGTGATTAAACAAGAATACATTTGCTGAATGAAAGGAAAAAAGACCTAACTTGCTAAAATATTATAGCAATTAGATGAGACAGTATGTGTGAAAGCTTAATAAATGTAAACTGTCAAAACCTGAATAAATGTAAGCAACTGTCAAAAACTAATAAAGGTAAGCAAATCTCACTGTATCATCAAAGCTGTATAGGGGAGTAGGTGTGCTTAATAAACATTTGTTGATGACCATATTACAGAGAACAAAGATAACAAAGGATAAGCTACAATACCAAAAATAAAGCATAAGAGTCACTAGAAATGTCAGTGAGAGGAAGATATGGCTGTGAAAATATAAGCACAATGACAGGGTATGAGGTTAGAAACTAAATAATACTTTCATTAGTTCTAAACCCCTGCTAGCTACAAAAAGATGATTACTGATTCACATAATGCAGTTAAGCTAAATAAAAAGTAAAGTTCAGAGAGAAATATGAAAAAAGAGACTCTCCTCCCTACTCCAAGCCCTAACCAGACTTCCACCTACAGGAACCTCACATACTCTTCCAGCTCCATTACCAAATGCCATCTATACTGCACTTGTCACGATTTCCTCTTGAAGATGAGAAGTCAAATGTTTCTTACTACATTACCAATAAACAGAGCCAACCCAATGAAAATTTTCTTGAAAATAAAGCTGTCAGAAACAAAAGTAAAGGTCTTGGCCAAAAATCATAAGGTCTGAGTCCTGACCCCCTGAAATCTGCTTTAGCATTTCAGTATTCTTAGTGAAAAACAAAACTCACTTTTCCTCATGTGCCTTCTCATCTTCTCATGATCAAATAACCTGGGACCTACTGTCAGGAATCTTTTTTTTTTTTTTTTTTTTTTGAGATGGAGTCTCGCTGTGTCCCCCAGGCTGGTGTACACTGGTGAGATCTCGGTTTACTGCAACCTCCACCTCCCAGGTTCAAGTGATTCTCCTGCCTCAGCCTCCTGAGCAGCTGGGATTACAGGCACGCACCACCATGCCTGGCTAATTTTTGTATTTTCAGTAGAGACGGGGCTTCACCATGTTGGCCAGGCTAGTCTCGATCTCCTGACCTCAAGTGATCCTCTCGCCTCAGTCTCCCAAAGTGCTGGGATTACAGGTGTAGGCCACCATGCCTGGCCAGGAGCCTTCTTAAGGAACATGTTGTTCAATCCTGGTTAGAGCACTGGACAGGTCAGAGCACTCCTTCCCTTCATTATATTTATGGTCTAATTGCAGCTGTGAGAAGCCAAGTGACAGGTACCATAGAAAATGTTGAATGATGATGGATAGCTGGAATGCAAGGGAACCCGACAATAGTATTACAAGTGGAATATACTATGCAAAAGGAGAAGAAAGGCCCCAGATTATTTCCTATTTTTAACAATGAGGACAATGATTTGACACGCTGTCCCAGACAGATGGCAACAGGCACCGAGGCCACCTGATAACTGCTGGAATGACAACATCTTAGTGTTCACAGGCTGGTCCCTTCTTTTAGAATTCATTTGCTTTTAAGTAATAAGATTCCACATTTATTTATTCCTTGATTCTACCCAACTAGAGTTTAATGTGGTTTGTAATAAACATTGTCATATTAATAAAACACAAACAGAAACCAAAGCCTCAGAAAGAAATGGTAACAGGATTCTCACCGAAACAACTATGGAACAGAGGGAAGAATCAAAATGATCTTCCGTCAAACATGAGACCACTATTCATTATTAGCATAAGTGTGATAAAATTATTTAAATTCTCTGAGTCTCAGCCTTTCCATTTATAAAATAAGGATTGCAATAAACTCTTTCAAAGACTTGTGATGTTTAAGGGAAGTAACGTAGATAAGGGCATTCAGCACAGTGTTCTGTGCCGAGTACATCGCCAATGCTCTTTTCCTTTTCCATTAGAATTACCAGACACTGAAGGATCTAACTGATTTCACAAACTAGGGAGAAAGAAAGTCCAAATTCAAAAAATGTTGTTCTTGTTACTTTAGGA